TTCTTGAAGTAAGGGGCTGCTGTTCTTAGGCTTGATCAAACTATGGTAGTTTTAGATTTATCGATTATAGGTTGGCTAGTATATACACTTTTACCTTTAGATAATATTGTAAAATTTTATATTAATAAAATTCATGGGTATTTTTGGTAGATTTTTTAATTAGTGTTAGTTTGGATCTAAAACATTTCATGTTTTTGTAATATTGTATTAATATTTTTTTATTTTTAATTTTTTATATGAACTTGTGTTTAGGATTTGTAGTAAAATAAAGATGCCCAAAGTTATATCTATAAGATCTGCTCTCGTTGGATGGTGTTCTCTTGATATATTTTTTTGTTTTAATAACCTATAACTATATTGAAAATTATGTTTTTTTTTGAGGTTTAAGCAGGACCAGTGCAGCTAGTACCAGTACAACCTGAATCTCGTATCAGAACAGAGCATTCTTAGTTTAATATATTTTCTGTAGCTCTCATTATTCGATTAAAAACCTAATTGCTCTTGTATGTTTTCGTAGTGACCTTTTCTTGTTGGAAATAAATCGAGGAAGACTATTGTTTCTAGGTCGAGGTCGCCATAAGATATGAGTAAAGTCAAGTCATCTAATTTCATGAATCCTGCTATGGGTCTTTTATATCTTTGGTCTTCATCGTGTGTTTCCAGAAGAAATGCGTTATTAGGGATTACGATATCAGGAATATAAGATAAGTTTCTTAACGGGATGTTATTAGTGTTTTCTTGAGATTGTCTTGCTAATGGTAATAGGATTGGTGCTGGGTCTGATAGTGATGGCAAGTTAACATTAGATATATTTACGTATTGTCAAAATATAGAGTTATTTCTTTTTAACCAATTGCATGTGGCTGGAAGGGTATTATGATACCATCAAGACGGTTCATTAGTGCTTAAAATAGCACTAATCATACTAGAGTAAAGGTCAAGCGAGTGACTATTTTTATTTAGAAAAAAATTGCCTTGTAGGAATCAATATGTTGTATAGGGATTTGATCCTGGAGTGCGACCTAATGAACATGTCATATGAATTGGCGAAAGATATTTTCTGTTATACATTGGTACTAAACTTATTTCATTAGGTATATTGAGTAGAATGGGTGGGAACTTTCTAGTCTTTGGCTTTTTACAGCTACTACAGATGGCTACTTTGGTAGATTTGTTTGTAAAGTAATGTAGTTTAAGAGGAATGTCGAAAAATACTATAGGTAGGGTGTAGTCTTTGTCCAGGTTATATATTATCCATTGAGTCGCAGAAAGGAATATTAAAACTGAACAGTAGCAGCAGAGAATTTGGAGATGATCTTGCAATATTTTTGTTTCAAATTCGCGTAGAAGTTTTTTTAATGCAGAAGATAGGGTCTACAGTAGAAATATTACATGTGGGATTGTAGGAGGATTAAGTTGTAATATTGGTGTGGGATCAGTTACGCTAACCTGATTTATTTCATTACGATAAATATAAAATTGGAATATAGTAGTATTTTGTCTATTATGATCTGTTTTAATCGAGTTCGATAGAATATTGCTTTCGTATTCGTAGATAGAATATCAATAAATAACGTAATTTAAGTTTTTTTTCATGTTCGAAGACTTATATATTAGGGCAATGCATTTGTATACTAGTATAATTTTTTTTTTATTTTAAGTTGTTATTTTTTTTTTTTTTTTTTTGATTTATTTATTGAATCCTTTTTATTTATATTTATTTTTTTTTTAATTGTAGCCTAAAAAGTTAGTAATAATATTTTTATTAAGTTTTATTGATGATATTAAAAGGAGAAATTACATTAAATCAATCAGTAAAGGAGAAAATATTCAAGAGGTAAAAATCATAAAAAAAAATAATAAGAAATGAAAAAAATGAATTAATGAAAAGTTTTGTAGTAACAATCATCTATTATATTAAATCTATTTATATAGATTTATGGAGAGTGCACGCTATCGGATACCTCATCCTCTTCCTGATCACTTGGAATATCTTCATAAATATTTTGGTCATCTTGGCTATCGTTTAATAGTTGGTTAGTAGTGTTATCCTGAGGGTTCTGGGATGGTATAGGCTTCCGTATTTTCAGGTTCCAAGTTGGCATTAGTTTTTGCATTTTCGGGTGCCAGGTGAGTATTGGTATTTGCAATTTCATATTCTGGATTATTTAATATGTTGGTTAGTATAAGGATAACAAATTGCATACCACCAAGAAAAACCATGTGAGTATTATATTATTGATAAGTTTTTACTTAGTTGTACTTAATTGTCAATATAAATATAATAGTAAAAATTTTTTTACTTTTATATATCTGGTTTATTGTTTTAATCCTTTATTATATTTAAATGATCATTAATTGTTTTATTAGGGTAAATATTTAAAAGGATAATGATGCAGTTATTACCATTGATACTTTACTTATTAGGTAATAATATATTATTAAATGATTGCAAAAGTAAATAATAATATATGTATTACTTAATTAGTAAAGATAATTTACGTAATTGCCAATTTAAGCGTTACCCTGAGTATTTTTTTTTACTAGATTTATATTAATTATTTTATTATCTGTATTAATACTATTTGCTGCAGTTCTTAATCTTTTTGCTCTTGAGGAGCTTTCTTCTTGAGCATTTTTATTATAGGGATGTTTGCTTTTTCTTGTTGACTTGTTGGTCAGGTTAAGTTTTTTCGCTAATTTTTTCAACTCCTTGTGTCTGGTTCTTCTGTTTTTCGACGACAGTATATTAGTATCAGATTTAGAAGACCCTGGTCAAGATAACTCCACTTAATAACCTCAGCAGCTATGCATACCGATTTTTTTAATATTAGAGAAGTGCCAGAAATTAGCTAATTTTTTAGGAGGGAGGAGGTAAAAAAAATTATCAGATATATAGTTTTAGCTAATTAAAATTTTTTATTTAAAATCAGGTAGGGGGAGGGGATAGCCTTTTAATAAAAAAATATCAGCTGATAAATGGCCCTCCTCTTATTAACTCCTCTGCAACTGAGATTATTGGCTAATACTTTGTAGCGACCACTATGTTCGCATGGTGACCTTTTAGGTTATATTTACATAATAGACATGGTAACTTGAGATGCCGTTATACTATCATAGGCATCACTTTTAAGGCAAAAGAAGGTCATTTTGCTATCTGTGGTACTGGGATCTTGTATTGCGGCTGTGAAAATGCCAAATGCTGGTGATATGGAGAAATCGAATGTGGTTGGGAAGTCTTCCATTGTTTGAATATTGAGAGGAGTATTTTGCTCAATCATAACCTTAGATTATTTAAGATTAAAGTAAAGAAAAAATGAAAGAAAGAAAAAAAATAGCATATTTTAGATTTATATATTTATTTTTTAATTGCCTATTACTTTTTATAGTTACGCTTTTGAGAGAGTTAACCTCTAGCTAGGTATATTTCATAAGAATAAAAGTATTCGTAGTCAAAGGGGTGACTATAGAGAGGCTTGACTGCAGGAAGTTTGGGTGATTTATTAATTAATTAAATTAACTGTTTTGTGAGAATGTTATGTATAAACTAAATTTTTAATTTATTACATTTAGATCTTTATCATTAAAAGCGAATCGCCTGACTATTAACGAGATGCTAGATTGTATTAGTTCTTTGACTAAAGTCATTTTGCTAAATCGAAAAGCCTTGAATTTGTATTCAACAAATACATTTGTTTCAATTCTATAGACGGCAGATCTGCTACAAACTTTATTTGATCCTGATAAAGTTTTAATAAATGAAATAGCGCAGAATATAGAAGTCATTTTTTATTTTATTTTATTTTTATTTTTTTGTGAATTTATTTTCTTTTTTTTT